ATATCTCTAACATGGCACAAGATTTCCAATATAAGTTCAGCTTGGGAAATAGATATGGCAGATTCAAATGCGGTAGCATTAATATGCACAGTTCACATATGTATGTGAATTTCTTCTTCATAGCATGATTTCTTTTTTGTTTCTCAGGTTGCCAGTTCAATATATAATTGAAAATTCATGACATGATAGACCTAAATTGTGTCTACGTGGCCGGAGGTCGCTCCCCCCCAACCCCCCGTGTCGCTCCCGCGAGCGGTGGGGGAAACCCTCGCCGCCACCGGTCCTAGCCTCCCTCCCCTCCTCCTCTCTCCTCGCCGCCGCCGCACTCGCTGGCGAGCAAAGCACGGCCGACCGCGGCCGCGGCGGGGCCTCCTCTCCTTCCCGAACGGTGGTGGGCGGCGCTGGACGACCTCGCCGGTCGGGGACACGGTGCTTCGTGGGGCACGGCAGTGCAGGTGGCTGCTGCCCCGGCGTGGTGGGCTACGTGCGGTGGTCGTCGGGGTTGCGCTCGTGGTGGCAGAGGCGGCGGTGCGGGCTTGGCGGCGGCGGAGGCCCAAATCGATCTGGATCTGGGGGCTCTCCTCTGGCTGGCGGCCCGGGGGCTGGCCAGGACCGGGCATGGTCATGGCGCTGGGCGTGGACAGCGGTGGCGTGCGGCCAGCTACTGCAGGCGGCTTCTTCCGGTGCGGCGGTTGTCCTCGGTGGATTTGGGCTGCCACGGCATGGTGGGAGCCCATGGTGGTGGCATGGGTCGGCTCGTGGCGGCGGTGTTGCGTCGGCGTGGTTCAGCTCATGGTGGTGTACAGGTCGTGGCGCTTGGCTCTTCGGCGTCGGCTCGTCTGCGTGTGGCCCTTAGGGATGTTGTTGGTCTCTCTCGTGGATGCAGGCGGTTGTGGCCGGTACGGCTCCTCGCGCCGCTGAGTGGGTGGCCGGTTTGGGCCATGTGCTGATCCAGGCTGGGATTCCGGGTTGGTCGTCAGGGGTGACGTTTGGAGAGGTGGTGGGAGAGATGGGTGGCGCCGATGCGGTCGGGCCACCCGTCATCGGCAGGGGTGCCGGACGTTGACGTAGTCCACTCCTGCCTCGCCTCTTCTCCGACCTGGCCACTCCCTAATCGATTTGGCCATTCCTGTCGCTGGCGGCTCTGTCGGTGGTAGGAGCTTGCCGGTCGGCTCATCGCCTATAACCATGAAGGACCTTTCAAGTGTCTTGTTTCTCGGGCGGCGGCACAGGTGGTGGGAGTCGCAGTGCTCGTGGGCTGATGCCATGGCTCAGGTGTGGGCGGCTAGCCGCCATGGCCGCGTGGGCGGTGTGGTGGTAGGCGTTTCGTCGTCCTAACGAAGGCGGAGTATGCTTACCGGGGTGAAAACCCTGTCTGGTTTAGGCCAGACCGACGGAGGCGGCGTCTGTGGGCGTCGTCATCTTCCTGGAGTCTCTGTTGTGGTTGCTCCCTCCCTTTGTCGTGCTCCGGATGAAAATCCGATCTCTGGATCGGGCGGTGGCGGCGCTACGGTGTCGTGCCCTTCCTGAAGGCACCGTCTTGGTGTGCACGGTGTCGGCGATTCTCAACTTCACCTCTTCGTGATCTCATCGGAAGGGCGGCGGCGGCTCCGTAGTGATGCTTACTGTCTTCTCTTGTTGTCTGCGTTGAGTATGTCGGTGTGGTGTTGTTGTAGCCCTTTGGCACCTATGTATCTGTCCCTGGGAGAATGTGGTTCTCGTGTTGTGTGTTGTGGTTTGTATCGGATCCGTTTGTTGGTGGTTGGTGCTTTATATATAAGGCGGGGTGAAAGCCTTTTTCAGTAATTGTGTCTACGTACATACTCAACTATTTAAAGAATTTTCAATAACTTTTAGCATGAGTTTTTTAGCCAGTTGCACAAGAACTTCATGTATAAAATGAGTGTGCACATTGTGCGCTCGGTATAAGAACAAACAATCTTCTCACCATGCATTGGATTTGCACTTGAATTAATCAAGTTTTGAAGTAAAAATTTAACTAATCAAAGATGCTTTAAAACTCTTGCTCATATTTCTTCAATGGCGCCATCCACACACACACTACACACATCATTCTTCCTTGCCATGATGACCAACCGAGAACTGACCGTGCACTCTTTTTTCCTAGGTGCAAAGATGCGGGGAGGACATGTCGATCCTGATCACCACCTATGAGGGTGCGCACAACCACCCGTTGTCTGCCTCCGCCACCGCCATGGCATCCACCACCTCGGCCGCGGCATCCATGCTCATGTCAGGCTCCTCTACCTCGCTCGGCTTCCCCTCTGCCGCCTCCAGCCTCCACGGCCTTCGGTTCGGCCTCCCGGGGGCGGCCAACAGTGCCTCCTCTAACAAGTTGGGTGGCCGACCGTTCTTCCTCCCGGCCGCCACCGGCGCGTCCATCAGTGCTACCCCATCATACCCCACCATTACACTTGACCTCACCTCGCAGGCCGCCTCGTAGCAGGCCTTCTCCCTCAGCAACAACAATAGGTTCTCCTCCAGCTTCACCACCTCTCATGGCCACAGTGGTAACACTGGTAGGTACCCTTCGACAAGCTTCTCCTTCTCCGGCTCCGGCGCCACCGCATGGCCGGCCGGAGTTGGATCGTACCTGAGCTACGGATCCTCGTCCGGTGCGCCCTACAACGGCGCCGGCAAGAGCTCGTTCGAGGCCGCGCTGAGCAGCATCAATGGAAGACAGCAAGGCTCGGTGGCATTCCTCCACCAGCCGGTCACTACCAGAATTTGATACGTTGCCGAGGCCCATGACCGTCGGCATAGGGCCAAAAGCCGTCGGCAAAGGGTTACACCGACGGTCCCCGTCAGCATATCCCCGTCGGCAACTCGTACGTCGGCGTACCTCAGGTCGGCCGTCGGCATACAAAAACCGTTGGCATAGTGAGCTAAGCCGACGGGGGTCGTACCACCGTCGGCATACATACCCCGTCAGCAACATTTTCCACCTGACGGACGTTGACGGTGCCACCTGACACGTGGCAGCTTCTGGGCGACCGTGACCTAGCGGTACGCCGACGGTTAGGCCGTCGGCATAGTTTTGGGCCTATGCCGACAGCCCAACCTTCGGCATAGCTCCGTGCCACGGCTGCCCAGGTGCTGCCACGTGTC